TATGTTGTTTCCATATGGTTCACTATTTCTCTAGGAGAACTCTATATAATTGTACTTGTTGATATTCTATGTCTCCGTCTCCACAAATTGAAATTATTTTAGAGGCGGACTGCTTTGACCCTGCCTGTCAGGGCCAACCTGGGTTTAGAGGGATACAACATCTCAGTAGAAAGACTGAAATGTTCTATAAAAATTTTCCCCACTCAGGCATTAAACTCATGTTTTCTTTCTGCACTAACAAAGTGCTTAACTGCTATACCACAGACACTGGCATATCGCTACCTTTAAGTTACAAAACTCTATCTGCTCAATACCTAGAATTGAGAAATTTCACATAGAAAAATTTGAGTTTCACATCATGTCCAACTTTTTTTATGCAATTATTTGAATATCTTGATAACGACTCTGAATAATCTTACAATTTTGACAGAGCAGAAAGAACATGTAGTTTCTGACCCCATGGTCTTATTAACTCAAAATGGCCAAAAATGTCAGATAGAATTTTGTAATTCTAAGGTAGCGATGATAATTCTGCAACAAATTACTCCACAAAAATCTGCTCCTAGCAATCACAACCCGTCCTCAGACTGAGTGTGTACCCTCAATCAGTGCAAAGAAGCTCTTATGATAGATAACAATTTTGATGGAAGTGAAATATAAAGATAAAATTAAGATTTCAGATTTTGAACCATCTGTTGGTTTTGACCATGTCTATAACGGTCTTTTTTTCTTTGTGATCTTCAGTGACTGTTATGGACAGGTGTCAACTTTACCTTAAAAATGAAATAAAGTTGTTATGAGGAATTGTTACTTATACTTTTACTTTTATGTGCCATCCTATTGTGGGAATCAAGTTGTTGATAATGGTTCTCTACCTCTGTACCTCAGGTAAACATAAACGGACGAACCAGGAAGTGGCCATCAAGGTCATTGACAAGATGCGGTTCCCTACAAAACAGGAGGCACAGCTCAAGATAGAAGTGGAGATTCTCAAGGTGAGGGGACGGACTGGCTCACGCACATCCTGCCCAAATAGAGCTTTGGCTTCTGAGCACAGACATACGCACACACACTCACAAACACATGCATGCACGCACGCACACACACACACATGCCTGTGTGCACACACTCACACACACACACACACACACACACACACACACTCACATACATGCACACACATGCATACACACACACACACACACAAGCACTCTCTCTTTCTCTCACTTTCTCTCTCTCTCTCTCTCTTTCTCTCTCTCTTTCTCTTTCTCTTTTTCTCTCTTTCTCTCTCTCTCTATCTAGTGTGAAAGTATGATATCATTTTTAATTGCTGGTTGTTGGAACCAAAAGCTGAATATTAGTTCTAATCATCATTTTACACATTGCACTGTTCTGTGAACTCAGCTGTTCAGCATTGTTTCTCTTCCTTTTTACCTTAATTCTCTTCCTTTCCACTCGGATCCATCTCCTCTTGTTGAAAACAAAAAATCTTAATCCTGTTATAAACGGTGGCTGAGTGGTTAGCGAGTTCAGGTTCACAATAATGTCATGCATAAGTCGATGACGAGGTGTTTCGGTGGATAGTCACTGGGGTGCGTCTTTAAGAAAACAACTGAAAAACAGGGCGCTGCACAATGGCGACCAGCAAGGGTTTGTTTGTAAATTTCTCTGTATTGGTGTGTATTTTGTATTTGGTCAATTTGATGAAATATTCCGGGTGTGTAAATGTGTGTGTTCAAGTATGTATTTATGTTTGTATGTGTGTGTGCCATTGTAAACCAAATGTCCTCACGGGGAACAATAAAGTGGAATTTATTTCCAAGTTTTTCAGGCAGGATTTTATTTTTTGTTATGATGTGAAAGTTTTATCATTTGTGTGTTGTGCTGACAAAATGAGTTAAGTCTCATATTTTAACCCCAATACACAGAGAGACCCATGAGATTTATAGATTGGGTTTGTAGAGTGTATTAGTTGTAAATCTACTATATTTGATGTGTCTATTTACGTCCGACATCTCCCTTCGTGCATTGCGAGAAGTTACTCATTTTGTCCGCACAACTCACATTTTTAAAAACTTGCCACTCCCCGGGGCAGTGCCACTGACTGAAGTGTCTATAGGCCATTCCCAAAGGGGGACATTTCTCGTTCAAGCATAGTAGAATTGTAAATGGGCTGACTTATGTCACGCTCATAACTGTGCCTGATCTACAACAGGGAACTGTTGCTTTTTCTTTCCTGATCCTTACTATTGTCATTTTCCTCTACTTCTTTTGTATGTTTGTCACTGTCTTGTGACCTGCTATTTTTGGGTGCCTTGATAGTCGAAGGAGACCTTGTGCTGTTGAAGCTTGAGAGGTGAGCAGTCTAAGTCTGATTCCCTGTAAAGACTTCTCTGTTGACACCCACCCCTTGGCGCTCATATGACCTTATGCAGTGCGAGCGCCGTAAAACCCCTCTACTATTAAAAAAATAAGTAAAAAAACAATTTAAAAAACTTGCTTTGAAGCAAACAGGTGGTGTGAGGCTGCCACTCAGAGGTCCACTTTCTTTTCAGTCCCTTTATTAATCCTGCCTGTTTGCCTCCCTTTTTTTCCACTACAAAATGACCGTTGTTGTGTTGTGTCTAGTTATCTTTCACACTAGAAAATGTTCAAGTAACATAGTACTATTTTCTGGGCGTTTCTTTCAGAACCTGCATCACCCAGGAGTTGTCAACTTGGAGCAGATGTTTGAAACAAATGAAAGAGTAAGTCTTTACTGTTCTTCTCACATTTGAGTCTTTTGACCATAGGGGCACACCGCTGTTCATGAAGATAGGTTTTACCTTTTAAAAAAAAACTATTTGAGATATCTCAATTAAAAAACCAGTGTGTTCAGCATTGAATGTCCTATTAGGTACAACCCTTAACTCAAAATGGTTAAAGTCCAACTTTTAGTACCTTTCTTAGGACACACACACAATTTGTGACCGCTTGGTTACCTCATGGGTGGTCTCACAAAAAGTTATTTAAGAAATATCTGAATTTGATCAAACCCTATGTATCCCCTGGGGCAGTGCCACTGACTGAAGTGTCTTTAGGCCATTCCCAAAGGGGGGACATATCTCGTTCAAGCATAGTAGAATTGTGAATGGGCTGACTCATGTCACACTCATAACTGTGCCTGATCTACAACAGGGAACTGCTGCTTTTTCTTTCCTGATCCTTACTATTGTCATTTTCCTTTACTTTTTTGGGGTGCCTTGATAGTCGAAGCAGACCTTGTGCTGTTGAAGCTAGAGAGGTGAACAGTCTAAGTCTGATTCCCTGTAAGGACTTCTCTGTTGACACCCACTCCTTGGCGCTCATATATGACTTGTCTGTTGACACCCACCCCTTGGCGCTCATATATGACTTATCTGTTGACACCCACCCCTTGGCGCTCCTTTGACCTTATGCAGTTGCGAGCGGCGTAAAACCCTCTACTATATAAAAAAAAAATCCTATGTGTGGCACATAGAAATGTTCTGAATAAAAAATACTATTCAATGACACCAGAAAAAAGGGCTAAAATGTAAATGGTCAGGAAAAAAGTACGAGAGAAAAGTGATGCGAAGAAAGGGAGCAATAGATAACAGAGCGGCTCTGCATCAAAACACAGGAGACAGTCAGCCGCTGCGAGTGGCATGCAAGCTGAATCAGTTAAAAGCTTCAACTTTGAAATGACTTTTTATGTTTTACAAGTGGGTGGCTGACGGGTATTCTGGTGTTGTCTGCTCGTTCTTTATAATAATAATAATAATAATAAATAGCATTTGTATAGCGCATATCCCTGCTCAACAGCAGGCTGTATGTGCTTTACACTGCTCGTTCTTTCCAATCAAATATCTATTGTCTTCATCTCCTTTTTTGTTTTATGCTACTCTCTCGTAACATCTATAATCTTCGGCACTAACATGAGCTTAATGTGTTGCAAGTGGCATAAAACGCTTTCTAAAACGAAAAATGTCTTGATAAAGTGGAAAAAAAACATTATAATCCTAGTCCACATCCAGTTGTCACATTATTGATGCTAATCTCTCTTATCTCTCTCTGTTCCCAGATCTTTGTGGTCATGGAAAAGCTGAAGGGCGACATGCTGGAGATGATCCTGTCTAGTCCCAAGGGCCGGCTCAGTGAGCGGGTCACTAAATTCCTCATATCTCAGGTCAGACCAACAGCTAAATATATGTATATCTCAAGTCAGTCCAACAACTGAATACATGTATCATGTATCTGATATCACAAGTGAGACCAGCAACTGAATACATGTATATCTCAGGTCAGACCAGCAACTGAATACATGTATATCTCAGGTCAGACCCGCAACTGAATACATGTATCTGATGTCTCAAATGAGGCCAACAACTAAATACAAATGTATCTAATATCTCAAATGAGACCAACAACTAAATACATTTATTTAATATCTCAAGTGAGACCAGCAACTGAATACATGTATATCTCAGGTCAGACCAACAACTAAATACATGTATCTGATATCTCAAATGAGACCAACAACTTAATACATGTATCTAATATTTCAAATGAGACCAACAACTAAATACATGTATCTAATATCTCAAATGAGACCAGCAACTAAATACATGTATCCGATATCTCAAGTCAGACCAACAACTGAATATATAATGTATCTGAGTGAAAAAAAAAATTTTGGACACCATTTTCACACAAAACTTCACAAAGAAACCCCAAATTAAAGCCTACTACTAGGTCCATTAGGCTACAAATAATATCAGGGGGCTTTTGTGGCCCAGAGGTTAAGGTGTTTACCTTTCATTCAATAGGTCCCAGGTTCAAATCCGGATAGCAACAGAAATTTTTCTTCTCTAAAAATTTTCTCCTTTCGAATCCTTTCCAGCTCTTTAACAATGTTCTATCGTCTGCTTTTATCTCCACTTTCTTTCCCTCACCCCCTCACCTCCTTTGCCCCGTCCTCTGGACTCCTGACTCTTTTGCAGCTTTTCTTCTGCTACTCCTTGGCTCGTTCTCACTACCGTCTTTCAGCCACACCCCTGATCTTATGATAGGAAAGATCTACACCTTGCCTTTTCGGACAAGAGCGAAAAATTTTGGAGGTCCCATGTGCAAGTTGTGCACATTAAAGATTCCTTGGTGGTCCAAAATTGATAAGAGTAGGCTTCAGCCGCCACCCGCGCAAAATTCAAAATTTCATACCAACTGAAAATGTTTAATGCGTCCCGCGCGCTTATATGACCTTATGCAGTTGCGAGCGCTGTAAAACACTTACCCCAAAAAGAGAATTAATATAATAATAATAATGATAATAATAATATCAAGTCATAAGCATGCATGCAAATATAGAGTGATGTGAAGGTGCTACATGGTGCTGTTGAGTGAAGTAAATGTTCTGAATGGTGCTGCAGAGTGGATTAAAGGTGCTGTTTGGTGCTGTAGAGGAAAGTAAAGATGATTTGATTTGTGGAGTAAAATAAAGATGCTACATGTTGCAGAAAGAAATGAAGGTGCTATAAGGTGCTGCACAGTGAATTGAAGGTGCTACATGGTGCGGGAGAGTGGAGTGAAGGTGCTATGTGGTGCGGCAGAAGGACGTGAAGGTGCTATATGGTGCGGCAGAAGGAAATGAAGGTGCTATCAGGTGCGACAGAGAGGAGAGACAGTACTATATGGTGCGACAGATGGAAGTGAAGGTGCTATCAGGTGCAACAGAGAGGAGAGACAGTGCTATATGGTGCAACAGAGGGAAGTGAAGGTGCTATCAGGTGTGGCAGAGTGGAGGGAAAGTGCTATATGGTGCGACAGAGGGAAATGAAGGGGCTATATAGTGCAGCAGAGTGAAGAGAAGGTGCTCTATGGTATGATCGAGTGGAGTGAAGGTGCTATATGGTGTGACAGAGGGAAGTGAAAGTGCTATATGATGCTGCCTATGAAATTGAAAGTGCTATATTGTGTGACAGAGTGGAGTGAAGGTGCTATATGGTGCAACAGAGTGAAGAGAAGGTGCTCTATGGTGCAACAGAGAGGAGTGAAGGTGCTATATGGTGCGACAGAGGGAAGTGAAGGTGGTATCAGGTGCAGCAGAGTGGTGTGACAGAGGGAAGTGAAAGTGCTATATGATGCTGCCTGTGAAAGTGAAAGTGCTATATTGTGTGACAGAGTGGAGTGAAGGTGCTATATGGTGCAGCAGAGTGGAGTGAAGGTGCTATATGGTGCAGCAGAGTGGAGTGAAGATGCTATATGGTGCGGCAGAGTGGAGTGAAGGTGCTATATGGTGCAGTGCTAAATGGTGCGACAGAGTGGAGTGAAGGTGCTATATGGTGCTGCAGAGGGAATTAAAATGCTTATAAATGTATAAAATTGATTCGAAGAATGAAAGGCGCCGAAGACCACAAACTAATTTGAATTTACAAAGTGATGTGAGAAAAAGAGAGTTGGGCAGGGGACATGGAAAGTGCAAGATGCATCTACATCGTAATGCACTGCTGTAAGTTTATCAGAGAATCTTTACTGATGTGGTTTATGAAGCGGTATAGGGAAAGAGCATGTAAGTTAGGAAACATTCACTACCTTCTATATTACAGAATGTTAAGTGGGGTACTCACTGCAGTAGAGCATGAGATCTCTGACTTTTGGAGTAATCTAACTTTTAGACCAACCTCTGATTGCTACATCTGGTTTGCCCGGTCTGCAACGAGATTATTTCATCACACTATGTGGAAATACTGTTGATTGTTTTGGGTTTTTGTTTTAGTGTTTGTCACTGCTCAACTAGCATCCTTGGACACAATGCTTTTTATAAAAGACGTGTGTTTACAAGTTGTCCTTTTTTGCCCAACTCTAATGATTAGCTCTGATCAAAAATGGCAGTTAGATAACTGGTCAGAAAATGAAAGCTTTCTACAAAAGCAATCAGGGAAGGTTTTCTTGGAGATAAACTCTTTTGAAATATTTCGTAATGTATGTCATCTTCTTCTGACTAGTACTTTGTTAGGATAACACAATGTTCTGTTTATATGTTACAGTTTTTTGTAAAGCACTCAGAGCCTGTTACTTTAATTCGGGTGAATTAAGTACTATGTAAATGCCATATATTATTATTGTGAAGAGTTACAGTATTGTTTTTGTGAATTAAGTCTCATTTTGACGATGAATTTTGTCTTGTTCCAGATCCTGGTTGCCTTAAAACATTTACATTCGAAAAGCATTGTGCACTGTGACCTCAAGCCAGAGAATGTCTTGTTAAGCTCTGAGACTGCATTCCCTCAGGTACTCAGTTGTTTAACCTTTCATGAGTTACTTTGCTCAGTTGTTCAATTAGAAGCAACACAGTCATAGCCATGTGTGTGTTCATGTACTTAAACATGGGTGAGTGGGTGGTTGGCAGGTGCTCTGGTGTGGTTTGCTCCTTCTTTTCTATCAAACAACTGTCGTCTTTATGTCTCCTCTTTCTTTTTTATGTTTGTTACTCTCTTGTAACACCTCTAATCTTCAGCACTTATATGACCTTATTGTGTTGCAAGTGCCGTAAACTCTTACTGGAAAAAAAAAACATGAGTGTGTGTGTGTTTATGTGGTGTGTGTGTGTTCACGTACTTAAACATAGGTTTCTCATACACACACATACATATTCACCCACACATCCATCCTCTCACACTCATGTGCACATACTCACTCTCACACACACACACACACACACATGCACTCACATATCGACATACTATGTCCATGTGTGAGTGCATGTGTAATACCTTTGTATGCATATGGACACAGTTCCGGCTCTCGCACTGTATTACCTAGACTTTTTAACTTGAAATGTATATATATCACAATTTTGATATAATTACTGGGTGGTTGGTGGGTGCTCTGGTGTGGTTTGCTTTTTCTTTCCTATCAAACATCTATCTTCCTGATCTCTCCTTCTTTTTTATGTTTTTTTCTCTCTTGTAACACCTCTAATCTTCTGCACTTATATGACCTTTTTATGTTTTGCAAGTGCCGTAAAACTTTTACAAAAAAATGTAATATAATTAAAACATTTGTTTTGAGTAACATTGCTTCTGTAGCGAGTGTGAACATTCTCTGACAGACTTACAAAATTTGGTAAGTACTTCCAGGACAAAACAATAGTGGTACAGCCAAACCAGCTCTAATGGCGACCTGTCCAAGACAATAATCACCTGTACATACGACCACTTCCCATTCCTTTCTTTGTGGGGAGTTTTTTTGTTCATTATTTTAACATTGTCCAAGTCATCCACCTGTTTAAGACAACCTTTTTTTTTTGTCATTGGGTTACCATCTTGAACAATTTTGACTGTTTGTATGTATGAATGATTCATATTTGGTCTTTTTGGTCGTCAGGTAAAACTCTGCGACTTTGGCTTCGCACGCATCATTGGCGAAAAATCATTCCGTAGATCTGTTGTGGGCACTCCCGCCTACTTAGGTGAGAATTCTTCCTTGCACCGTTGCATTGAAAACATCAACTTTTTTTTTTTCTCAACTGTTTTTATATAAGGCTTTAGATGAACTATGAAGACTGGATTTTAATCTACAAGAAGTCTTACCTTATTTGCAATTCTGTATATTAAAATAGAGTGCCATCCATGCATTTTTGTTTTGACCCGCGTTATCGTGCTGGGAACCATAGTTGACTTCTGATGTCATGATTATGGAAAAAAACATTTAAGAAAAGGAAAAGGACTGATTGACTTTTACTTGAATTTTGAATACTTTCTTTCAAATTTTAAAGATAAAAGTCATTGCTCAACACACGTTGGGTTTTTTTTTGTCCGTGAAAAAACAAATTTCCCATCAAGGTACATGTATTTGGCTTCTAGCCAACTTTACATCTGAAAAAGAAAATGGTTTATTTCTAGTCAGCTTCTGCCCACTCACTTGTGATTTAGCTTTATCGCAATGTGAACTTAACGAAGATCATTGTTTTATTTAATAAAGAGTTTTTTAAAGCTTCTTTGTTTTACATTATGAGCTCCTAGTCAATGTTGTTAATAAAGCAGGGCATACAAAGAGTTCTAGTTAAGACTATCTTGTCAGCTTTCTTCTTTCAGTTCTGAATTCTGTGTTTGTTCCAAAGGAATGGCTTGTATATGTGCTGCCTTTTGTTCTTATTCATTGTGTACAGTATGGGATAGAGCACTATATAAATGCAATTTATCAATATTTTTATCTATATTTGGTCGCTTTTAAGGACAAGCGGGCTAACCCAGATTTCGGGGGTTTCCGGAAATCTTGACCAACACAAAAAATGGGCATTGCCCTACCTATAGAAGTTTGGTATCATTAGTGTGTATATTTGTTTGGCTATAGAGAAAACTCTCCTTGTCTTTTATTGAAACTGAACAAGGGACAAAAACTTTACCTTCGATTTTCTCAAAACAGCATTTTTCGGGATAGCCCACTTGTCCTTAAAAGCGACCATTTTGATAATTATTATTTTGATTATTATTATTATGATTATTATTACTCTATGACATCTTGTACACTATATCTGTTTCAGCTCCCGAAGTGTTGAAGAAAAAGGGCTACAACAGATCGCTAGACATGTGGTCTGTTGGCGTCGTTGTCTACGTCAGGTAAGAATTTTGGTCCCAGATAACGTATGGTAGCCCTTATGAAATTTGTAATCATTTTTTATTTGTGACTTTATTGTTGTGTAGAACTTTCTATGAGCACCTTTTTTTGTGTAATGGTTATATTTACGCTTTTAGAATATACCTGATTCAAAGTTTTAGCATTATTACAGTGTTATGTCATGTAAACTTGGTGGATTTTTGTCCTGTCTTAGTTGTGACAGGTACAAAGCAAGATGAATAACAGCCATTTTTGTTAATAATGTGAGTAAAGACTTTTATCATACTTATGACAGATAAGAAGTTATAGTAAATTAAAGCCTTTTTTGTTGATTATGGTATTGTGAGTAAAGATTTTCTTTTTACAAATTCTGATCATGACAAGATTTGACAAGATTCACACCATCTTAGACGAAGTCCTGACTTTCACAAAGAATCTTTTAACCTACTGGTTCACAGCCTGAGTGGTACATTCCCTTTCAATGAAGACGAGGAGATCTCAGACCAGATTCAAAATGCATCTTTCATGTATCCTCCCAACCCATGGAAGGACATCTCTCAAGAAGGTGAGAATATTTGTGAAGCATGCAGACAAAATGAGTTGCTTCTTGGATTTGACCCCTATGGAAATTAGAGACGGGTGGGAAGCGCTTTTTCCTTTGCGAGCGAGAAGACCGAGTAGCTGACCTATTTCTCGCCGAGACCGGTCCCGGGAACGAGAAATACTTCGTGTCTCGAGTCTCAAGCAATGCTTCTCGTCTCGTGACCAATTTCTCTTCTCGCCCCGCAGTTCAAGCCGCTCATTCAGCGAGAAGGCTGGCCGTGGCCGAGATTTCTCTTCTCGCCCCACAGAACGAGCAACTCGTTTAGCGGGAAGGCCGGTCGTTGCGGGGATCTAAACTTAGAAACTAGGCTTGCCCTGGTGCGCAGGCGCAGGCGGTGAAGGAAGGTAGGGAGACGACCTAGGCCTGGGCCCTGATCAACTCCCCACTCGCCTCATCTCGCCACCCTCTCCCCTCCCTTTCAGTTTCACACACAGGACGGCACGGTGATGGGTGGCACTGTCTGCGTTGTCATTTCTCGCCTCTCACTCTCTCTCTCTTGTTACTGTTACTCGTTATGTAAAGCCAACGAGCAGTATCACTTCTCGGTACCGGGCAGTAGTTTAGTGCTTGGGAAGCGACGGGAAGGGCGTTTCTCGCGAGAAACGAGTATTCGGCTCGTGTCGTGCCCGCCCCTAATGGAAATAGATACATCATGCTTATAGGTGAAGTTTTTTCAATTTATAAGTATGAAATAATAAAAGATGTTATACTTAAAGAATATAGTATCAGGAGAAAATCAACAAATTGGACCTTAGTGCCAACTTTTGGCCAATATATCGATTTGCGGACTGTGAGAAGTAACTCATTTACACTTCACATATACTATTTATCTCATAAAAACAATTTGGGTTTTTTTTTCTTCACCTGGTTCTTACTCTGGGTTTTGGCTGTTTTGTACATGCGGTTTCGTACATATTGCCCCCATCCAGCCTATGCCACTTCTGTTTAAGTGTGTTTTTTTCACACACACATGTGCACACACATACACACACACACACCACACACACACACACACACACACACACACACACACACTGCTCCACTTGGCTCACAATAATCATCGAATAGTGCCAGCCGTTAAACTTCTGGGAGAAGGATCGTTTTGGGCACTGGGAAGATAAAAGAATTAATTTCTCTTTTCCATTTTATACTAACGAGTTGTGCAAAAATTTTCCTGCTTTGATCTCTGACCTACATGATAGCAAGTGCGGAACCATATAGTCTGTTTTGTTTGTAATGAGCGCTTTCTTGTTCCAGGCATCGATCTCATTTCCAACCTGCTTCAAGTGAAGATGAGGAAGCGATTCACAGTGGACAAGTCACTGAATCACCTCTTCTTACAGGTACCTAATCAACAGCAAGTGCTCTATAAATAAGTACTGTCGAAATTTTCCAAGACAGCCACCTATTGTCGAGGAGAAAAGTTATTATCTTAGACAGGTGGACATCTTGAACAGTATAAATATGTGTCACAGCATGGTGGAATCAGGCGCTCGTCAATTTTCGAGCTTGTGGAATTATTGGTATCATCTTAAAGCTTTTTCAGTTGTCTTGCTATGGATGAAAAAAATGCCCATCTATCTTGAATAGAAGTCGAGATCACCTAGTTTCAAAGGTAGAATTATCGAGAAAATGGCCGCCAAAGTTTGGTTATTTCCATAGCTTGATAGTTCGTGGAAACTGAAAACTGACATTTTTTGTGCCTTTAATCAACGTTTTTCAGTAAAACCCACCCAGAAATATGTTCTTTATTGGACAACAATGGTGTTAACAAAAATTCGATAAAAATTGCCAAACAGGCATAAAAATGCAAGTTTCTTCATTTTCATAATTTTGACGAGCGCCAGATTTCACCATGCTGCTTCACATATATTATAGAAAAAAATGCAAAGGGGATAGTGGGATTCATTGCTTTTACATGTGATTGTCTTGGACAGGTGGCTATTAGAGCACATTCAATTGTAATTACAGAGTTAATTCTGCTTGCTAAGTTCATAAACCTTCTTTGAAATTTAAAGAGATGGAAATTTAACTGTCGATAATGTATGTGACAATATGATGTTTTATTCCGATGGCTCTGTGTTGAATCATTGAACTGAGTGAGTTGTGAAACGTTTGCCTGACTACAATACCAATACCTACCATTACCCCAGGTCTGAAGAAATAAATATTGTTAAGTAATGTCCCCACCCTCTGATAGTCGTTAATGTTTAAAACTCTCATCAACACAAATTAACTTCCTTCAGCAGATGAGCTGCCTCAGACATCTTTGTCGGGGTCAATACAGGCTACATGGGACACATCCCAAGAAAAAGATGGAAATTTTCAATGAATACTTTGTCCCATATATATATATCGAAATTGGGACTAGCAATAGAATATGAGATTGTATCCTTCCGAAAGGAACATGCGACTATCAGAAGATGCGACATATATGCGGAAAATAATGCGTGGGTTAAACACTACAACATAAAATGCCCCATGTTGGGCTAAGAGGATGAAACAAAATATACTGATAGGCAAAGGGAGTTTGTGGTAACTTTTGGAGGGAGAAAATAATGAACAGCAATAACAGGTCTGATGTACCTGGACATGTTAAAAAATACTTTGCTTACCATAATGTTTCGACTGTTGGTATAGATGGGCTGTAGGTCATGGGGGTCCACTTGACTATTACCAGTTTAAAACTGTCTCTTTCCCCTATATCCACAAATGATTAATTAATGTCTCTCTCTGGTGCCAGGACTACCAGACCTGGTGTGACCTGCGTATCCTGGAGATGCAGGTGGGCAAACGCTACCTGACACATGAGTCGGATGACGAGCGCTGGGAGAAGTATCGCCAGGAGCGGAACCTCAAGACTTGGGACGAGGTCGGACAGAAAGGTGTGAATGAAAAATACTCGTTCAGCAAGTTTCGCGAAAAGCAGGCAAACAATAATCCCAAAGCTTCATGACACAGTCGCAGCATATTTCATCTCTCCTTCTCTTATTTTTGTCTCGCATCTTACTTCACTTTCTGTTTTCATTTCTCCGTCATATTGACTGTTATTCTGACTGTTGCTTTGTTGTGATCATTCTGTACATATGGCTCTGTGATCAGCTCTATGATATCAATGGCTTAGTCATGTGTCCTTGCGTACCTTTTCCTGCCACTCTGCACCCGGGCATGTCCTCTACACAAGCTCCTGCTGCAACCTGTCAACTCCTACCCTGCCTTCCACTCTCAACTCTCAAGCACTCTCTCGCACTCTCTCTCTCTCTCTCTCTCTCTCTCTCTCTCTCTCTCTCTCTCTTTCTCTATCACTCTTTCTCTGTGTCCTTTTCTCTCTTTCTCTCACTCTCTCCCACACTCTCTCAAATAAACATACATACTCATAAATACACACTCACAAACGCACACACACACACACAAATACACACCCCCTTTCCACACACACTTAAACAGCGCACACCATCAAATCCTCTGGGCGCTCCACTGGTCAATCCGTCTGCCAAAGTTTGGCTTGATATCGTACGTGTAAGTCTTGTTGGTCTCTGGGGAAAAAACAGAAAAAAAACATAAAAACTAAACTAAAACAGTGAGAGAGTGACAGTGTCAAATGTGAGGCATGCTGAAAAAATGAATTACTTCTCGCAATCAACAAGGGGAGATATTAGCCTAAAATCGACACTAGGGTCAAATTTGTAGATTTTCTGTTGAGGCCATATTCTTTAACAATAACCTACCTTTTATTAATTCATACTTTAAAATTCTAAAAACTTCACCTATACGTGTGATGTATCTATTTCCTTAAGGCTTGAATCCGAGAAGTAACTCATTTTGTCAGCACGCTTCACAAATTAATAACGACTAAAAGTAAAGGTGGCGTGGAAAGGAACCGGCCACCCTATCACAATATGCCGAAGGCCCAGGAAGTTGTCTCACTAACAAGGCAATCCCCAATGTCCGGATCGGATGGGGGAACAAATTTACTTTTTCTACAGCAACAGCAGCAACAGCAGCAAAAATAACAACAACAACAACAGCAGCAGCAGCAACAACAACAACAACAACAGCAGCAACAAAAGGAGCAACAACAACAACAACAACAAAAACAGCAGCATCAACAACAACATCAAGGCGGTGGCATCTCTTCGGGGAGGATTCAGTGAGGTTGGACTGCCTCACCCGCTACACAAGAGAGGCGGTGGCCCTGGCGAAGAGCACGCTCTTCGGGGCTCCAAACATTT